CTCCTCCTCCTTCTCCTCCTCCTCCTCCTCCCTTTTTCCTCCTACCTCGTCCTCCTCCCTCCTTCGTCCTCTTTCTCCTCCTCCATTCGTCCTTGCTCTCTCCTCTCACCTGCCTCCTTCCTCCCTCCTTCCTCCGTCCTCCTTTCTCCATCCTCCTTCCTCCTCCTCCCCCTCCTTCCTCCTCCTTTCTCCTCCTCCTCCTGCTCCTTTCTCCTCCTTCCCCCTCCTCCTCCTGCTCACTCCTCCTTCCTCCTCCTCCTCCGTCTCCGCCTCCTCCTCCTCCTCCCTCTCTCCTCTCACCTCCGACCTCCGTCCTCCTTCCCCCCGACTTCCATCTTCCTCCTTCCTCCTTCCTCCCTCCTCCCTCCTTCTTTCTCTTCCTCGTTCTACGTCGTGCTGATTTCCTCCTCCTCCTCCTCCTCGTTTCCTTCTCCTCTCCCCTCCTCCTTACTTCCTCCCTTCCTCCCTCTTTCCCTTTCCCCTTCCTTCTTCCTACTTTCTCCTCATCCCCCTCCTCCTTCTTCTCTCCTTCTCACCTCCCCCTCTGATCTCCCTCCTTCCTCCTTTATGCTCCGTCCTTCTACTTCCTCCTTGCTCCTTCCTCCTCTTCCTTCCCTCCTTCCTCCTCCCCCTCCTCCTCCCTCCTTCCTCTTCCTCCTCCTCCTTCTCCTTCTCTCCTCCCGCCTCCGTCCTCCCTCCTCCCCCTTCCTCCTTCCTCCTTCCTTTTTTCTCCCTCCTCCTGCTCCTCCCTCCTCCTCCTCTTCCTCCTCCTCCTCTTTCTCTTTCCCCTTCCCTCTCACCGCCCTCCCTCCCCCCTTCCTCCCTCTTCCCTTTTCCTCTTTCTCCTCCTTTACTCCTTTTCTCCTTGCTCCTCCTCTTTCTCCTCCTTCATCCTCCTCCCTCCTCCTCCCTCCTCTCTCTCTCCTCCTCCTCCTCTCCTCCTCCTCCTCCTCCTCCTCCTCCTCCTCCTCCTCCTCCTCCTCCTCCCCTGTTGGGCTGTCGTGCCCGCCGCGAGGCGCGCCTTCATCCCGGGGCCGTGCCGCGGCCGCTGCTGCTGGCCCCGGTCCCGGCGCCGCTGCCGGGCACGCGGGCCGCGGCCTCCCCGGTCGGGCTGGCGCTGAGGCCGCCCCGCCCCAGGGATCGGGGGCGGAAAAGAGGGGGGTGATGACTAGGGGGGGGTGGACATCATGGCGGGGGCCATGATATTTCCCCAGATTTCATGGCGCCTCTTCTTATTTCATTACGTCCCTGGCCCTCCCGCTGGGCCGCGCACATGCCGCCGGTCATGATTTGCACCCCCCCCTCTTGGACAGCCCCCTCTTGGCCGCTCCCGAAGGGAGGGGTCGATGCGTCCAGGGGCGCCGTTTGGGGGGGGGCACAGTCGACCTGCGTGGTAAGGATGGGCAACCTTCGCAAGGGTAGCCTTGCATCCTTCTCTCCTCGGCCCATCCTCGGCCACTTTCGCTGGCCGTGCCCCGGCCGAAAAGCTTGAAAGTCGGCGTCCAAGGCCCATGCATCCTTATCGCGCACCCTTGTGAAACGGGCCGACTGTAGGCTTAGGGGCAAGTCTGGGGAGGGATGGGGCTCAGTGGGGGAGGTGCGAGATTCGAGGTTCGAGGTTTTCGGATGTTTTCGCGGTTTCTCGGCTGTCTGCCAGCATTGGGATGCTCTCCAGCAGCCGCGCCTTGTCGACAACGTTTTCGCTAGTGGGGGCCTATCGCCGATCTGTGTATCGCCGATCCCAGGTCGATGTTTCCCCCCTGAGCCCGTCTCCCCCTAACGTTTCCCTTCATTCTTGAAGGGGGATACGGCTAGGCTGATTGGTGATGAGGATAGGGATCGATGATGGACGGGGGTCCAGGATGGTTGGAGGCGCGGCTGATTGAGGATCGAGGATGGATGGGTGGGACGGTTCGGTATGGATCGATGATGGAGAATCGGAGGTTTTCGCAGGTTTCTGCACGTCCTGAGATGTTTCTGGGCCCCAGGCGCTTTTCAGCAGCTGCGCCTCGTCGAGACGTGTCTGGGGGTGACCAGATCGTTCGTGGACTCTGACCAGAAAGCCAGGCCCCTTCGCGTCGCGAAAACTTTTGGAAGCCTCTGGCTTCCGGAGGCCCTCGCCGACGCCCTAAGAACGTCAAACAATGACTCGGGACGAACAGCCAGCCCTGGGGAACAAAAAAGGGTCAGAGCTTTGAGGGCCCCGTGCTGGCAAACACCCGGGTGTCGGATCTGGGCGTCGCGCTTTCTCCACACCAGACTTGTCCGCCCAGCTTCGAGAAATATGCCGCATGATGTTGGAGGGGTACAGTCCGGGGGGATTCTGGGAGAAGGGGAGATTTTGAGTATGGCCGAGGTCAGAGAGCGCTTTCTCTGAAGGACCATTCGAAAAGGGACGTCGAGGTGGTCAAACGCTTCGCCGTTCAAGACGAAGATGTGTGCACAGTCCAACAAGTCGCCTATGTCTAAAGTTTTGGCTTGACGCCGGGTGTGGTGCATTAGATTCAGCTTGACCGAACAGGTTGGTTGCGCTCCTAGA